TTCTGGTGAACGCCTATACGGACATTGAGGGCATCAAAGTGTTGGACAGAACTCGACAGACAAACGGCACGAATCGGTGTTTGGGCGCCAAATGCACGCATATATGCCTTCCCACGAAACTGGACTACCGGTGCGTTTGCTCGAAGAATAGTAATGTTTTCGCTAATATTTGCACGGATGAGACGGTTTGTTGTGTTTAATTGTTTTTTGAAATAGGATTCAGTTTTATAACAACTGATGAATAATTTGTTTTACTATAATATTCTGTATATTTCACGGAATTTGTACTTTTCAGCCAACTTCGAGACCAGAGGTGACCACAACCACCACTACAACTGTGCCATCGATTGGGAATACGGATCCCATTCATAGTCAGATCGTTGACCACAGTATTCACTCAAATATGGCAAACATTTCACACAAATTGGATACTTTAATCAATAATACACTCTTCGGACTGTTGTGGTACCGACTGAGTCCCATAATAATCACTGGATTGCATTGGCGTTGGTGTCCATTGCTATTAATCTCATACTAATCGCTGTTTTTATTTACCGAAAGCGGAAAGTGTAAGAAATTATTAGTTTTGTATAAATATGCTAAAAGCCTGTGTTATATATTTTGGCAAAATATTATTTTTTGAATGTTGGTCATATTTATCTGGATAGTAATTTTAATTGATCTCTTTATCTATAGACCCTTTTCTGGCAACCTTTGGGCTAAATTTCGAAATGACCGGGAAGAAATATATCTCAATGAAACATCCAATGACCCTGATGAATTGCGATTCAATTGTGTAATTAAAATGTGAATTAATTTTTGTATTTATTTGTATGTTTACATTTTATAATTGTTTCAATTTTTAAATTAAAATACATCAGGGATTAATAATAATTGACTACTAGCGAGTAAGCATTTTCATTATTTATCACAATATTGTTTAAAATAATATTATTCATAACAAATAAATATGCCAAAATTCTGTACAATGTTTTACTATATTTTTAAAATATTAAGACTTGAATATATTCTATAAACAAATCACAAATATGTGAATTTATCAAGTTATATGATAATAAATTAAAAAATATAAACATTTTAAATATAATTACTTAAAGAATTAAATGATAATAAATGGTTCTGTGATAGTAATCCGACAATCTATTGATAGGTCAATATTGGACAGTATGGGCACTTGGATGTAAAATTACATTGTAAATAAACACGAAAATATTTAAAATTTGAAACTGGAAAATTGCAAGTTTTATATGACATCAAATTTATGATAAATACAATAATTTACAGTAGTGTTATGAAATAACATATAAAAAATTGATAAATTTACTTAAATTGTGTACATTGGTATTTAAAACATTAGTACAAATGTTGAAAATGTTTATTATATGATTGGCTTTTAATCAGATTTCGTACGAAAAGTGTTTCCATTCTTAATAGTAATTAATTATTTGTGATTTTAATTTCAAGGAAATGTTTGTTTATAATAAGTAGAGATATGTTTGATATAATTAAATATTTTTCTTTTTAAATCTATAAAAACTTAAATTTTCAATAATTTTCTATAAATTTGCTTAATTTTATATATCTGTCTGTTTTATATTATTATACCATACTACTGTAATTATTAGTATGAGCAAATATATAATTTTATTATTAGGTATAACTAGTTGTGTTTTATTACAACTTGCGATAACTACCGGTGCCACAGAAATCCCATTAATATTGTTTAATAACAACGGCAATGGTATTAATTATGATTACCTCTCGGAGGGAAGGGATGTCATATTCACTGAAAACTCTACGAAAGCATATGAAATGAGATACGAAAGAATAAAAGGCTTGGATTTTGACATGAATGACGAGTACATCGTTTGGTCAAACGATAGATACCCTTATTCTCTATCAATGGCTGAACTTAAAACAAAAGTGGATCCAAATGATGGACAAACTTTGCTTCAGATATACAAACGATCGACACATTTCGAGAGAAACAGTTTATACAGACATATAGCCGTCGATTGGGTCCACGATTTGGTCTTTTATTTTAATGACAGGAATATTCACGCCATGGATGTCCACAATCCAGACGTTGGTTATGCCGTCACAAACAATACGATCAATAAGTACAAGACATGGATGACGGGTCAAGTGGTGGTCAATCCCTTTGATGGGTTCATCGTGTGGTCAGAGTATATGACTTCCAACGGATCGGCAGTTATTAGGAAATGCAATGAAGACGGAAGTGATCCCCAGATTCTGGTCTATAAAGACA